GTGGACGCAAGATCAGAGGCCTAGTACTGGATTAGCGGCGAAGGTGAGTGAGCGGGCATGTACTAATACATACTTGTCGGGTTTGCTTCTCGAGCGCAGCAAGCTTCTCAATGGCGCCTTGGAGATTACCGGACTAAACAGAGCGTCAGGAAAAGCTCAATGTTGCTAGATCAAAGCTCAAAAACCTACCGCGGCCAGCTTCTCAGCTTCGGGTAGCTGCTGGTCAACCTCCTTCGAGAAGTCCTTCTCGGGCTTTAAAACTCCGTCAGACATGGTAGCGGTGATCGCAGTGTAGTCCCCTCAAGATTTGTGATTATCGGCCAAGGTTCGAATTGGAGGGTTCAGGTTCAGGGATTGTTGGTGTGTAATGTTGTTGCGATGAGTTCAAGGCCGTGGGGGCGTGTTTGGTTTAGTCCAAGCTGGTCGATTCAGTGACGAGGCTCACGCAAGAGGCTCCTGCCTGCCTGTCGCTAGGTCCCTACCAAGCGAAGTCAGCGAAGCCGGGCCTGGAATTTAGTGGGACCGATTCCGGACCGTCATCCAATTTCTGGGGCACGTGACCATCATCAATATGAATGTGCTGAGGTAATTTCACGACTCAGTCAAGCTTATTTCATGAGCTCTGAAAGTACTTTAAAGAGCTTACTGCTAGTGACTCTGCAGGTCCTCGGGAAATATGAGCCCCAAATTGGACGTTTGAGGGCATGTTCATTCTTCGCTTTAGGGTAACAGACTACATTGGTACTAACCTAACGGAAGCTTGCATGTACTCTATATTAATAACTGGAGGGAATATGAAGACGAATCTGCAATGAGGAAACTTTCTGATACCATAGAACACTAACATTGGCATGAATAAGTCATTACATCCTTTCAAATTTATATAGTGCCTTCAACTTCTGAACCCAACAAGCTCAAATTATAAGTCATCGTAGAAAGATGGTTTTGCAAAAAGAATTTTAAAGGTATGGCTATAGCTGTAGCTATATTCAGGAAAGAGTATCGTTACTTGAAAATGGCTTGAGCTTAGAATTTGCCAGTATCAATTACTAAGTTATTCTAAAAGCTTACCAGAACAACGTGTTACAAGCTTGATTCGTCACTAGGAGAGTAATGCTAACCTAGACTCAGATGTATTTTCCATGTCAATTGATAAAACCGGGGTCAAAGGGTTGCAATAAATATGAAATCACTTAAGCAATTCATAGTGGCAGGCTTGTTATCACGAATTAGCTGTTCTGTTGTCCAGAATGTGTGCAAGGAAGCAATCAAGGCCACTGGGCCAAAAACTTGACATACCAGCATCCAGAAGATATGCGAAACCTGTTCTTTCATTGCAATTAAGTTTGTGTTGAATTATTAAAGTGGGGGATTTCTAATTAAAAGGCTATGCCCGCAAATGATGTCCAAAACTGGGAAGCAGAGAAGTTACGATTTTCATGTATCAGGTTGCTCTCCAGAGTCCCTACAGCCTTCTTAAACGAAGAGAAATCATAATTACATGTTGTAGAATAGCTGTAAGTGCAATTAATCACCAAGAAGATATACGATTTCAAGAGGGTGCAATAGGTCCGAAGCTAGTCGCCTGGACATCAAAGTGTTTAGACGCCAGCTGCGGAGTACAACCTCAGCCTGGCTGGAGTCTGTATGGATCCAAACTCCTCACTCCAGTCAGCTACCAGGATGCTTGCTTCATCGGTGAAGTCTGATAGCAGCCAGAAGGGCGTTGGTAAGTGTAGCCTTATTAAGGACAAACTGAGAGAGTACGGGAAGTAATGCGTTTAGAACGACATGTCCCTTCAGCTTGGAGTAAACTTCCTATCATACCTGCCCCATTGGTGCTTTTATACAAGATACGATATGGGTCTATAGCTAAAATCAGTGAAGGTCTGTTGCATAAAGCCCCTTTTGTCCAACGGTATAGCTGCATTATCATGTTCTCTTGTACAGCGAATGCATCCTCAAGATCAAGTTTCAGCCTCGCTCTAGAGAGATATATTTCAAGACTGCCGGTATGTTCTTAACAATAATTGTAAATTTAGCTCAGAGATACCGCCTCGGACTATGATGATTATGTACACCTTACAATGTGGACCGAAATCACAGAATGTCAGTAATACACCTATACAGCCGGCAGCCAACACTATTTCTCAGCCTCGAAGTTGGTGGAAGCTTATAATTAAGCAATGCTCATGTAACACATTCTGGAGAAAGGGCCATAGTAGTTGAAGTATAGTAGGGTGAATATAGAACTGCTTCCAAAGTCGGAAAATGCGTAAACAGACTTATGTTACATGCATCATCTCCTGTAAAAGGTATAATTTCAGGCCTATCTGTCTGGGAGGTTCTTGAATCTTAACCCGGGTTGAAAAAACATACAACTAAGCAAGGTCTAGCAGGCTTTGATGGCATTGCATATCATCTCTGATCATGACTTTGCTTTCGCCACTAATTTAGAACTGATATAGGGAAATTATAATGAGGTTTAGAATATTCACTTTAATTAGCGTATTCAGAACTTGAAGTAGTCGGTTGCAAATATGGACGGGTTGGATACCTTGATCTTGAGGCTTTACGAGGTCCCGTATGGAAGCTAGGAAATGACAGGAAAGAGGACCCATTTTCATCCATAAAACATGCCTGTAATCCTACAAATAAACGAGTTCTGAATCAAAGGCCAATAATGCTCTACGGTCTTTGCCTTTGAGCTTTTTCAAAGGCTGTACTTTTCATTCTACCTCAGATTTCGTATTGGGATAAAATAGCAGGTCTATGAATCTAACAGGCGATATGAGAGTATAAGGGAGAAATAATAAGCCCAAGACATATGCTTCAGATCCCTGATATCTGTTTGAAGATCTGGTTACGAGTCACTACGAATCCGAGGCAATGAAAGCTCAGGGCGAAGTTATGATGATATTGCATCAAGAAGATTTCATTCAGACAGGAAATCATACCATCCTACTAACTTAGTCTCAGCTTGTGGTCCCAACGAAAGGGTTAAAGAACCTTTATTGAAAATAAGACAAACCAATCTTGAACTAACTTGATATGATGAGGTTGAATCTATAAGTCGGAGGAAGCTCGGGACAGGAGCTGAAGACGATGAAATTAAGCGATTGGTCCGTGCGCCATCGTCATTGTTGATCAACTTTCGCGCTCCGCATCATCAAGTGGAATCAAAACAATCCAAAGCCGCTTATGATACCCGGCGCATGACTAATTCAAGGACAAACATCCAGAACTTATGGCGACCAGCAACTTGACAAGCCACTGAAAACAGGACTGTACTGTAACCCATATTCGTATCAACAGCCTACCTCACGAGCAACCACCAGAAACTCCACGGTAGTCATCATGGCCGCCAGCAACCTCTCGACATACTCCGATTGCGTCTCTTCTCTCCGCACCTCCCTCAAATTCCTCGAATCATCCGTTGAGACTCTTGATAATGGCGTATCCGATTTTCCCCGTCTAGTCAATGTCCTCAAGACCGTCCGCGTAAGTCTCTCCACTCACCTTACGCTGCCTCTACTTACACCTCGTAGCACTATGAACTCATTCCGCAACCCACTCTCGCTGCAGCTGAAGCCTCATTACGTGACGAAATCGGACCATATATAGCTCTTCTCCTTGCCCGCGCAGACTCTCAGATCGAGCGTCAGGAGCGTCGCATTGAAACACTCAAAGCCCGCGCAGAGCTTCAGCAGGGTCGTTTGTCCCGCCCAGATGATGATTACGACGAATACGGTGGAAAGTCTAAGAAACAGAGAACCGGGAGTCGTAAGTTGACTGTAGAGGAGAAGCTCCGCGCGCGAGCAGTTCGGCAGCGCAAGGAGGCTCTGCGCTATGGTGTCGAGAGATTGGAGCTGGAGGTGTTGCAGAAGGAGAGGGAGCTCAGAAAGAGATTGGAGGGATGAGAAGCGAACCGGAAATGAAACCGCACTGAACGACAAACGGAGAAACAACTCAACAGAGGCAATATGGGGAAGGCCCTTTGATGCAACGAAACCTCCATTGCGAGACGTCGCACACATCAATGAGCAAGCCAGGTGGGATCGGCACCAGGCATATGCTGGCTCTTCAACCTATCGAACTATGCCAACCCTCCTCAGCGACAAATACGGAAACCAGCCGGAGGATTATACGCTGAGTTCATCTTGGCAAGTGTTTGGCTTTAACTTGAACACGACACAAGCCCCGTAACTGAGTATTGTCTAGACTCATGTAGGCTAGGTTGGACATGTTAGTGATACCCATTTTTCCAAATAACTGCTACGCGTTCCTGAGTAAAACCTTAACACCACATACATTGGTTTCCATGGTTCTTGGATGGCCCCGCCACTTGCAGATCCTAAATTTAGACTCAGCCCAAACTCACAATTGATCAACTCGGGGATTCAGCTTGCATTCCAATAATCATCGTGTTCACTAGGTCCAAGGGATACCTTATCCCCTGTCGTTGTAACTACAGCTTGCTTGGTACTGTTCATATCTGCACCTGGCCAACCCAGATCCATTGACAAAATACAACCCCTTCCACACAAAGCCCAGCCTGCTCGCAGGTCTACGAGCACGTTTCCTCGTGAACTCAGGCCCAAAGCCACATCGGGTCGTCGGGCATTATGCCACTTCGCCAGAGGGTGAGAAACCTGATTCGAATCAAATCTCGCGGGTTTCCCGAGGGTAATAGATAAAGCGAAGAACAACAATAAGTGAGGACAGTAGAAAAGAAGACATTCAAAGTGAAAAGAACAGCCTAGTTGCAGGCGCCGTGGTCCGAGGTATAACACAAGGGGGTTTTTCGTCCCAAATATACTCCATCCAACATATTTCCCATCCCAGTGCAGAAACCAAATCGCCGAGTCGTAACTCTAAAAACGTTAAAATGCGACAAACAATGAATGAGCAGCCCGTACGTGGGTCTGACGGTGTTCGACGGGCGATATATCGCAAATCGCCGAACGGGTATCCCAGGGAATCCATGCATGGATCGTTGCTCATAACAGGATGAGGTAGTTGCTGGGCGCAATACCCGTCTCGCCGCTCTCTTTGCGCGCTTGCCACCACCTTCCGCTAACATCCGACACTTCAAGGATCTCGTGCTTGGAGAATGAAATTTCATTGGCGTCATCCGGGTTGGCCTCGTAGCTGTAGATGGCCTTTGCCCTATAGGGATATTCAGTGGGTGGCACGACCTCGGTGTCGTTGCCGGGAGAGTTGTTTGGCTTGGCTTGCGGTGGTTGTTGTTGCATGACTGAGTTGGTGAAGCTTTGGGGAACTGCTGATCCGCGTGCTCCTCCGACTTGCGAGATACCTCCCACAGGCGATGGGTTCTCAAAACCATTAAGCTGAGCAGAAGTGTACATCTGAGGGGGCTGGACCGAGTTGGATGTCTCAGGGCGGCCACCGTAGGCGTTCATAGTAGATCGATGAATCGTAGTGGATTCTTTTGCGAGGGCGAATGAGTCAAGGAAAGCTCGAGGAGTTGAAGAGGGACTGGATCCAAAGTAAAACGTCCAAATGACCTAACTTGCTATTAGATTTATGCCTGAAGTCAATCTGGAATGCAACTCACAATAACCATAGCCAGCAGAATAAAGCCAGCAGAGGCAGCCTCACGGGCGCCGCTGTTAGAGTAAAGGAGCTGGTTAATTCCGGATGAAACAAGGACAATTCCGGCTGCGAGATAGCCAGTCACAGCAACGTGGTAGGTGTGAACTGCATCGCTTCCAATGACGACGAAGACGCCAACAATGAGGCATAGACAGTAGATACAGCTCCACCACACGAAAGTTGGGAAAGGGTCGTTCTTTGCAAGGTCCGCATCGCTATTTTGTTGTATCCGTCCAATAATACAAGAGACAAAGGTGATAAACCAGGCGAGCTGCAAAGGTCAATTAGTTGGAGGGCTGTGGCAGAGCGTGAGAGGAACGCACCGTGCTAATGGAGAGCGTGGCCAAGGCGAAGGGGTCGCCGAGGATGTTGCTCATCTGAATGCCCTTGCGCTGGCCATACATTCTTGAGTGATCCATTTTCTGAAGCGAGGGAGAGTTGAGAGAATACGATGGCATAAGGAGCAACGGTGTCGAACGAGCTGGCGATCGAGGCTGATGCTAGAGTGAGGGTACGCGCTTTCTTCGTTGATGATGGTCGGTTAACAAACAGGCGTAAGCAGAGTCGATTGCTACCGGAGCATTCGTCAGAAGATGAACGATGTTAAAGGCGAAGAGGCTGTGCTGGAATCGATGCAATTCGTTGCTGTGCTGTGCAGAGCCAAGCGAAGCGAAACAGTGTCGATCGTTTGCAGGATTTCGGTTGGCGTAAGACGAGTGGTAGGTCGCGACAGAGGAGGAAAGTCGAATGACAGGAAATACGTAGGTAATAATAAAAGATGGAAAAGAAAGGAGTGGAATGACCCAAGCCTGTGGTTGCGATAGAATATTACCTCAGGTGAGTGGATTCAGTGGGAGGAAAAGGAAGAAAAGAAGGAGAGGGCGGAAACGATTGAATTGAATTGAACGGACGGTTTGAAATGGGAAGAGAATGGACAGATTGGATGGATGAGCGGGATGCGTTGGTGAGAGAAGGGGGAAAATGCAGGGGGGCAGTCCAGTCCAGTTCAGTTCTAGACCAGGGACCTATTTCAACGGGCACACACAGAACCTTAGGTAGGTTCAGTACACGCGAGATAGTGGATATTGCGACGTGAACAAAGTTAGTTGCGAGGAGCCCAAGTCGGCAAAAGTGGTCGAGGAAATAAAATAACAATAACAATAGCCCGCTCGTGCAACTCGTGCAAGATACAGCACAAATGCGCGCGGCTGTAATGGGGAACAACAAGTGGCGGTTCTGTGCTGAATGAAAGCCACTGCCACCCCAATAAGTGCTGCACGGTAACCAGCCCGACCAGTAATGAGGTGCCGCCGTATGTAGCGTCGCAGCGGCAGACTGACGCGGTCACAGTCAGACGGGAAGGGCACAATTTCAGGGGAAGGGAGACAAGGGCAGTCTTGGCCCTTCCGGTTCGTATTAAGTCCGCGTGACGAAGTGAAGAGGGAGGTATATCAATCAATGATATGGAAATGAGTGAATTTGGTGGTTGTCAGGAAAAGAACTCGTCGACAGGAAAAGACGAGGAGATTCCGGGCAGGAACCGATGGAAAGCTAATATGGCCGTCCAGTGGGTGTCGCACAGGTTCAGGGCCTCAAATCCACGACCTACAGAGTTCCCCGGCTGTGGGAAATGAAAGGCAGACGACGGTTCCTAGTGCTCTGAGCAAATCAAATCTCGCCCTACCCTTGTTGAACGTGGCGCTTCGTCTGCTCGTTGGCTCGGGCCCAAGTTCTGGGATCTGGAGAAGCTGTCGTGGCCGTGACAGGGTGGATCTTGCGAAGAGGGAGAGAAGTCGGACAACTCTAGCAAGCCGAGTCCGTGGTTGGATTAGAGACGATAGAGAGCAGTTGTTTCGTTTCAATGTCTTGCTTGTGGGCGATGGTTTATTGGCATCGATATTCGTTCCAGTGCCTTCAATATTCGTCAAGATGAGAAATGGGAGCAGTCAAACCTGGTCCAGAGTGCAGGCAGCCTTCAACTTATCCTGGCACGTTCAGCTGCTATCACCCATCCAGGCTCTCGCAGGAATGGATGATACTGTGACTGTTGTCCAGTGAAGGTTAGAATACACACTGTCTTGGAAACCCCAACCTACCCCAGCCGACATCATCAAGTTGACGGCGCCCTGGACAGGAATCTACCTGACTCGTCTCAAAAGCAGTCAGCCCAGTCCAAACATACTGTGGCTGCAGAACACTTCGATCCACGGGAGCACCGTCCATGTGCTGATGCAAATTGACCTATTCTACCCCGTCTTGTTTGAGGTTCGACTAGGGTCAAGTCTAATGCGGGCTATTGGCTGGTTGTGAGGCCTTGACTCCATTGCGGCAGTTTCATCGATACCATCTGGCTAAGCACAGGGTCAGATTTCATGAATTCTGGGCATATCCAAGAGAAAATGCTGACAAGCTAAGAGGCAGATCAACTCAGCTCAGAGGAGGCTCGCGTGCGCCTTCTTAAAAGATGCAAGATATTGGACCTTTCTTATCATCGAGTGGCTGGTGTTTAACTCGAATAAAGCACTAATTTGAAACATTGACTACCTACGCTCTGCCTCGTGACAACCGTTCAAATGTGGTGGATTTTTTTGGGCCGTTTCAACATAGAAGTTGAACTTTCAATTCAATGTTGTCCAAGCGTCTTCTTCTCAAGAAGATCTAATATTTAATGCCTTGCAATTGCTTGCATCAGACCCCAGCGACAGCGGATCGTTCTAAACCAGTTCCGTTAGATCGGCACAGCTAATCGCTGCCGTTGCGGATCTGTCATCTTTTGTCGATGGACTTTGTCCTTTCATGAAAGCGTCACCGGTTGATTAGTTCAACCATTCAGTTTCCTTTTCTTGCTATAATCAAGTTGCAATGCCCTGCTACCTTAGTCCCTGATGTGATACTTGACTGATTCAAACCAGCAGCGCGCCACCTCAGGTATCTTCAATAACGTCAAACCTGAATCTTCAGGTCTGTCCTACACTTAAACCCTACTTGTGACCGGCTGCCTCACTTCCCGCCAAGGGCTCTGACAGGCCCAGTGTCTCGATTCATCCCGTGTTACTCAACTGTGTCGACGAAAACCCACCAAGGGCTTTTCTTTGAAACTTTAGCTGACCCCAGTCACGGGAGGGCATTTACCCCTGGAACCACCAAACTCAACGAACGATGAGCCGCACAGCCGCGGATTTTCCCTTCCGATCGATCTTCATGACGTTCAAGGTCTTACTTTTTCATGTCCATCGACGCGTGGCTTCTCTTTGTCTTAATGATCGGCTCTGCTACAGAGTAGATCGATTGATGACAGCGCAGCATTGTTTGTGGAGCTGCTCCATTTGACCAAAAAGCTTGGGCTGAGCCACAACGGTCGCGTTGGTGATCATCTGGACTTCTCTAGGACTAGTATTTGTCTATCAGGGCCAGTCATGGCCAAGGGTCCTGCGATATCTCTTGCTTTGAGGCTCATCGTATTTGTTGTATGGTAAAGTCTGGCGCCTACAAAATACTTACACGGTTTGCACTTGTTCCTTATTAGAGCCGATTACATCCAATGATATGAAACTAATTTAAACCACCTAAAGTAGCCTGCAGTTAGCGTCAGGTACGACTCAACAGGCTCAAAGCTTCATATGGATCCACGATCCACGATCCACTACCGAATATCCATCGTGAGTCGTAGCTTGACAGATACATGTACCAAGAAGCTGCGTAGTATACCTAGCCTAGTGTTCGTAAGCTGAATGACACGAGAACATGGTAGACAGGAACTCCAAGCTGGCAATGCCAAAATCCGAGGTTTCCCAAACACACCTGTCACACGGGCTCAAGCTGTTTTCCGCCTTTGACAGTCTTGGTAGCGATGATCGTTAGAAGCCTCACAAAGGATGACGTATGAAATGGCTGTCAAACCAATCGCAAGTCTGTGGGCTGTTTCGGTAGAGCAGCTAGAACACATATCTACAAACCTGGAATTCGTTCGAGTTAGAAGACATGTATCATGTCCAAGTGGCGAAACCTCAAGTTCTTTCTTCACCCTCATCCTGTCACTGTGTAGTTCTACATCATCAAAATGCTCTAATGAAGGCCACCACCCGAAATCTCATGTAGTATCACGATTGTCCAAAGGCAGGCTGGTTCAAATACTGCTATTTATCAATTCCGCCACGTGACAGCAAAGCAATATTGAAACACTTTGTAGGGTATTTGCGACGCGGCACTGAGCTCTCATTAGTGGGCAATTAAAAATACTGAAGTTCACCAAGATGTGTATATCTAGGATCTGGATCGTCTTGCACATAAAGCTTCAAAGAGGTCTGATCACGGCGATGGCGACGGACGTGGGCACCAAGTCGGCGTACCAACTTCTGAAACAATCCTCCTACACGTCCTTGATGGCATTTGCTATCTGCTCGGGCACAAAGACAGTCTTCCATTCATTAGGTACCGAGAACAAAGAATAGTTTCAATGTGATGGCTACGAAAGCGGTCGCCAGGACATCCTGGAAGTGGACTACTGCGAAATTAAAGCAAAATGTCGTTGCATTATACAGGAAATGGGCATAAGATTGCCATGTTCATGACAACTGGTCTCGTCCAAGGTTGGTATTGGTATAATTAAAGCGTGGAACTCCCAAGGACGGTTTCATGGCCCATCACAGTACATTCATTGCAAAGCGCGAGGAGATCAAGATTTGATATCCTCCTACCGAGATGTCAAGTGCAAATAATGAGTTAATATAGTTCGGCCTCACGTGTAATCATGTCCCCCACAGCTCCGTGACAGACTAGCTTTGAAAAAGAGGTCAACAAAAACAAATAGCTAATATTTGATTTACCAATATTGAACTCCAATACACTGTTGAGTGGATGTATTGGGTCACTAGGGCAGGTTGTAGGTATGCGCTGTATATAGTTTTGCCCAGAACCACCTAACAGATCTGAATCAACCAATTCCTTAATTTCAAGGGTATCTTTGAACATGTTTTCATAGCTCTTCTTCAGCCTCCAACTCTCGCTCTGCCCTCCTCACCTGGCGCTCAACATCCTTCACTCGAGACTCGAGACTGGCCATCGCTTTCGAGTTACTAAGGATGCCTGTTTCATACCAGGAACGAACTGCGATCTCGCTCCTTTGTCGAAGGTCTGCCATCTCAGTAGCTTGTGCGATTTGGGTTGCTTCGATTGCTTTCATTCTATCCTGCAATGCCACAAGCGCTGCGCTATCCGCAGGATCTGGAATCGGACTGTCTTTGATCGCGGTAAGGGACGAGAGAGTCGCAGGAAAGGCGGACGCTGAGGCTAGAACAATGGATTGGAGTGCATCGATGTCCAGCTGCGATGGTGGCTCTGATGGGTCGGACGAATGAAAGAAATCGGGGTGAGCTCTGTCTAACAGGGGTTCAGTATGGATTGA